CCTATGTTTATTTAAAAGTATATTGACTTCAGTGAACATCTATGTATATATGGTGAGAGACCGGTTAATCTTAATAACGTCTTCATTTCTTTACCTATTAATAACACTATTAACGTATTTTTACTTAGAATCTTTTGAGTATGCGTATTAAATGATTCCTCTTTTTCGCTCGTCATACAAATTTTATCATGTACCAGCTCATTTATTTTTTAGCTCAGCTGAGCCGAAGGCTCAAGTGAGCTTTCTGATCACATTTTGCCCGGCGTCCGTCTGTCTGTCTGTCCGTCTTTCTGTAAACTTTTCACATTTTCGACTTCTTCTCAAGACCCACTGAGCCAATTTCAACCAAACTTGCCACAAAGCATCCTTGGGTGAAGGGGATTCAAGTTTGTTCAAATGAAGGGACACGCTCTCATTCAAGGGGAGATAATTGGGAATTAATGAAAGTTTGATGGTATGTTTCAAAAAATCTTCTTCTCCAGAACCACTGTGCCAGGAAAGTTGAAACTTATTGGGAAACATCTTCAGGTAGTGTAGATTCAAGTTTGTTCAAATCATGACCCCCAGGGGTAGGGTGGGGCAACAATGGCAGACCAAAGTTTTACATAGAAATGAATAGGAAATTCTTTAAAAATCTTCTTCTCAAGAATAGCAAAGCCATAATTGATCATATTTATATGGAAGCATCCTCAGGTAGTGAAGATTCAAGTTTGTTCAAATCATGACCCCCCCCCCCCCCCCCCCCCCGATGTAGAACGGCGCCACTATGGCCGACCAAAGTTTTACATAGAAATATATAGGAAAATTCTTTAAAAATCTTCTTCTCAAGAAAAGCAAAGCTATAAATGATCATATTTATATGGAAGCATCCTCAGGTAGTGTAGATTAAAGTTTATTCAAATCATGACCCCCGGGGGTTGGGCGGGGCCACATTGGCCGAGCAAAGTTTTACATAGAAATATATAGGAAAATTCTTTAAAAATCTTCTTCTCAAGAATAGCTAAGCCATGATTGATCATATTAAAATGGAAGCATCCTCAGGTAGGGTAGATTAAAGTTTGTTCAAATCATGACCCCAGGGGGTAGGGTGGAGCCACAATGGCCAATCAAAGTTTTACATATATATATATATATTAGAAAATTCTTTAAAAATCATCTTCTCAATAATAGCAAAGCCATGATTGGTCATGGGACTACTTTTGGATTTAAACTTTTCAATAATAAACCAATATCTACTTTTTCCTAGCCACAGTGCTCAGGTGAGCGATGTGGCCCATGGGTCTTTTGTCTTTTATATTTGTTTTGCAAAAATATTTGTTGATCCTGCATTTAATGTCATTTATGTTTTTGGTCATTCAAATTGTTTTTTAATAAAGTATTTTTGTTCCTTTTGCTGTCCATCACATATTGTATATAGACCTTCGTGTGTTGCAAATGATTTGATTGAAATAGACATTCTCATCTGAATTTTTTTTATATAATATTTCAATTACAACGAAGGAAAAAACTTTTTAACTCTTAATTAACTTACGTTAATTATAGATGCAAAAGAAACTGATATGCCAAGTACAATACAGTCGGCCAAAACGTCAACAGTGTCTTGACACATAAAAGCAATAATTTTTTCGTCCTTGTTAGTGGAATTGTAAAAAAAAGTATATGTGTAGATGTTAATCAATTCTAAATTTTATCAATTTACTTTCATTCAGACGAAAAACGAAAATCAGCGATCTACTGTAATATTTAAATAAACTTTCAGTTATAAATGCGTTTTTACGGTGGTATATTTAGGAAAAGCAAATTTTTTTTTTAAATACCAGAAAAAAATATCTTGTGAAAACGACATAATTATCTTGTGAAAACGAGATATTATCTTGTGAAAACGAGATAATATCTTGTGAAAACGAGATATTATCTTGTGAAAACGACTTATTATCTTGTGAAAACGAGATATTATCTCGTGAAAACGAGATATTATCTTGTGAAAACGAGATAATATCTTGTGAAAACGAGATATTATCTTGTGAAAACGAGATAATTTCTTGTGAAAACGAGATATTATCTTGTGAAAACGAGATATTATCTTGTGAAAACGAGATATTATCTTGTGAAAACGAGATATTATCTTGTGAAAACGAGATATTATCTTGTGAATATACGAGATAATTTCTTTTCAAAACAAGATATTATCTTTTGAAAACGAGATATTATCTTGTGTAAACGAGATAATATCGTTTTCAAAACGAGATATTATCGTTTTCAAAACGAGATATTATCTTGTTTTCACGAGATAATATCTTTTGAAAACGAGATATTCTCGTTTTCAAAACGACATATCTAGTAATATACAGTAATATGTCGTTTTCACAAGATAATATCTCGTTTTCACAAGAAGATATCTCGTTTTCACGAGATAATATCTCGTTTTCACGAGATAATTATGTCGTTTTCACAAGATAATATCTCGTTTTCACAAGACAATATCTCGTTTTCACAAGATAATAAGTCGTTTTCACAAGATAATTATGTCGTTTTCACAAGATAATATCTCGTTTTCACAAGATAATATGTCGTTTTCACAAGATAATATCTCGATTTCACAAGATAATATCTCGTTTTCACAAGATATTATGTCGTTTTCACAGGATAATATCTTGTTTTTACAAGATTATATGTCGTTTTCACAAGATAATATCTCGTTTTCATAAGATAATAAGTCGTTTTCACAAGATAATATTTCGTTTTCACAAGATAATATGTCGTTTTCACAAGATAATATCTCGTTTTCACAAGATATTATGTCGTTTTCACAAGATAATATCTCGTTTTCACAAAATAATCATTTCGTTTTCACAAGATAATATCTCGTTTTCACAAGATAATATGTCGTTTTCACAAGATAATATCTCGTTTTCACGATAATCATGTCGTTTTCACAAGATAATTTTTTTCTGGTATTTAAAAAAAAAATAATTGCGTGTCCTAAATATACCACTGTACGTTTTTGAATTAATTATTTATAATTAACAGTTGCATTATACATTGGGTTTTTTGATATTTTTGTGTGTAGATGTCATAATGAGATACAATCAGTTAATTTACATTATTGTAACTGATACCTTCTGCTAAATTGATATGAATAGCACCAAAATTAATTTACTTATTGGTTTCTTCATGTTTTTTACCCTTCAAAACTGTAGGAAAAAATTCATCTAAAAAGAAGTGATGAAGAACCCTTTAGTGTCTGTATGTCTTAATGTACTGAGGTAGGAAGTATGTACATTTCTGAAACTTGAAAGGTTATTGGTCGGTAACCCTGATTGATGTATTATTTAGAAGTCGCCCTAATGAGGGACGGGTAATTCTTTGGGTGTCGTCACGCAGGGGGGAAACCAACACAAATTGTACATCGGTTCGTGTGCATTAGTGTAATTAGCTAGTCTGTGGATTGGTAAGATTTTTTTTATCTTCTCCGCTTTATGTTTTGTTTCCTGTGGATTCGCAAACTAAGAATGCGTAACCGTCTGGTTATGCTGTCGAATCTCGACTGCTTTATGCGAGGGGAGATTGGCGCATATCATTCTGTTCTCTTTAAATTGTGAAAATGTTTGCAGTATTTCACTCCCTGACAAGATAATGCTAATTTATCACAAAATTAAGATGCCTTCTTGTTTTCCTCCTTTGGGTGGCTTCCGTCCCAATCTCGCCCCGTATCGGAGAGACGGTGTGGTCTTCATAATATCGAGATTCATATCCCAACCATATCGAATTATAAAATGAAATCAATCTTTGTAAAACACGGCATTTTAAAAATTTATTGCATCGGCAGCCGTTTTGGAAAGGCTTCATTTCTTTGAAACCCTGTAGACAAAAGAAAAGTGCGTAATTTATAAGAAAAAGAATTTTGTCATTTTTTGGTTTTTGCATTTTGCTCATAAGTTTAACGTTATACAACATTCCAAGTTTAAACTAACACATCTCTTTTAAGAACCTACGAGAAGTATTGTTAATACGTTATACAGAACTACAGTAACTAGATTACACCGTTAAATAGGCATATGGGAGGCGGTTGTCAGGTCTCTTTAATTGGGAAGTCTGGGGGTTCCTTCTAGTTGTTAATTTACATATCAAATACTGCTCACTGAGCAATGAATTGTAAGTTTATTGATTCCGGTCCACAATTAGAAACTGCCGACAAAAAAGCCACGCAAAATTGTCAGCTTAATAGAAAATTTCCAGGGAATACTTCGTATAGTGTTAATGGCCCCCTCTCAATGGTACATGTAGTGTAATGTCTTATCATCAAAGAACTGTGGCCAGTAAGGACCAGACTTTGCCTCGAACAGGATGGTGGGGGGATCAAGAAAAAAAACTTTCAGGCTTTTTTTTCATTTGATAACTTTCAGAATCAATTAATGAAACATTTCTCCATGTATAGACAAAATTACTTATTGGAAGCAATCAACAAAAACAAAGATAAAAAATAAAGGGTCGAAGATTGTTGATCAGATCATTTGACATATGACCAACTACTGACAAAATTTTACAATTAAACATGTTAATATCTAGACATTAAGTTAAAACCATACTTTTTATCATATGCAAGTATTAAAATTTGTTACGAAAGGAAATTGATTACACAAAACGTCATATCAAACTGATTAAATTCTTCAATTCTGATCGTTATTTTAGACTTAATTAAATAATGTACCATTTTCCTCCCCTCAGAAAAAAATGTTCATCTTTCCTTTCCTCGTGGACATTTAACTTTTACCAGTACCAAATTAAGAGATTTGGTTAAAACCAGATCAATAGATCATCAACTCCAGTTGTAGCGATAAAAAGCAGTAGTTATAGGCCGGTTTATCTGGTAATAAATCTTGTTTTTCAGGCAGAGTGTGAACAAGAGGAAATAAAAAATATAATGAACGCCAGAAAGACCACATAAATAACCATTATTATTTTTATCATGGAAACAAAAAAGTGACAAATGAGGAATATAAATTTAAATCAATTTAATTATTTTTTAACATTCTTCACAAAAATCATATCAGAAATAAGATAAAAAGTACACCATTTAATAAAGATGATCAACAAGTCTAACAAATGATTACTTTTTGGTGAAAAATTCTACATTTGAATGTACAACTACGACATTATGCATGGAACTGAAAATGAACGCCCTATATACTGAATTAGAACATGTTTTGATCATCCAGACTGAATTAAATCTGATAAAAAACTAAAGAAAGAAGACAAAAAGTACATGTAAATACATGTTGGTTTAGTTTCACCACTCAAAGTATAGAATAAGTAAATCTTTCTGTTAATTGTCAGATATCCATATCTTGGTAAAACAAAATTCTTCAGCAAAACTAAGTAAACAAGCCAGTCGCATCACAAAACAACAGACATGTATGCACAATCTTAGAAAAATAGTTCTCTCTCTCTCTCTCTCTCTCTTTCTCCCTCTCTCTTTCTCTCTCTCTCTCTTATATCGTACATTTAAAGGATGGACGGACAAAGTTTTCACGTCAGTAAACGATATGTGAAAATTTACTGAATCCGCCCAACACAGACCTCAAGACTGCCTTCTGATGGCAGGAATTCTGACGAATATAATCCCTCATCGGTGTTCCGTACTGTTCCTCAGCGACACTCGGATTAACACCGATACTCACAAATGTAGGGGTGGTCCTTGTTCCTAAAAATCTTTGTGACTGGTCTGTCCATACACTCCACAAACATTGTATTTCATTTAGGTGTCTATGCTTTCACCTTAAAATCACAATTAAGAAAAGCAGTATGTTCACAAATATGGAAGCTGTCACATGACCAGACAAATTTTTCCCAGACTGCCCTGCCACTTCCGTTCCTCCGCCTAAAAGTAAATGGACGTCGATCAAACATCAGAGTTGCTATCAAGACATTTAACTGAATTTAATCAAAAGAGTAATTTAAAGCTAGATTTTTACAGAAACATTCTGGGAAAGAACAGCTGAAGTAATTCTTTTTTTCTGACCCCAAAAAAATCTTTTAAAAAATATGTACACGTATGTACAACTACTGTAGATCACTAAATTTTCGCGACACCTTATTTTCGCGAGATAGCCGTTGACTCTTTATTAGCGAGACATTTTTCACAAATTGTTGTTTTCCTCTATATAATCGTACGGAATACTTTTATACGCGAGAATGAAATTTTCGCGCGCTCATTGTCTCGAGTTATTACGCGAAAATAAAGTTCTCGCGAATAAAACGTGATTTACAGTAAATTCATCAAGATAGAACTTGATACTAGGATTCTATAAGCAGTTTAATAATTCATACGGTATTATATCACCGAAGTTTTCATACTATGAAATACCTTAATTCTCACAAAATGATTTTTACTACTAGAATACGTTAAGATTGTAGATTCGCACTATATCATCCTATGCGTTAGGGTTAAAATGTCATAAATTCATGTTCATTATTAAAAAATATAAAAGCATTCATTGGAAATGTTAACTATATTCATTTAATGTATTCATTTGGTTAAAGAATATTCATAGCTCGTTGATATTTTATCGTAAATAGTGCACACATTATAAGTAAATCATGTGCTATAACGACATCGGGATAAAAGAAAGAGTGTATTATAAACAGAAATGGTTTGTTCGTATATTTATAGGCAAACCAATTATCGCATGATTACTGCCTGCTAAGAGCAACAAATTAATTGCTAATAGCACGGTATATATATGTATATAATGTGCAATTTTATAGATACTAGTAAGCAGGAAAGTTGCGACGATTTATTGGAAATTTTCTTTCACTCAGCTAAAAGGTGTTGATGAAGAACATACACATCATAGAATGTTTACATTTTTGTTAGGATCTCTTTTGAAATCCCTCGATTCCAAAACATCATACAAAACATAGATAGGAATGCATTTTCTCGAATTATGAGCCGATTGATTTTGATTAGGAATGTATATTAGAAGCTACAAAATGATGCAGAGATTTTTCTCTGAGAACATAATTCTTCTCAGTGGGCGTTTTTGTACACCTGCTCTTTTGAAAAGGAATGTTTTCAACTTCAAAATTTGAATCAATAAATCTGAATTTATCTTTGAATCGACTATTATTTTTATTTTACATATTATTTACTTTTCATCCTCCAAGTGCAAGTGAATCCACCTGTACTGTTTCGCATTCTGTTTTTGTGGTGCCTTTAGCTACCAACATACATCTTCAAGTTTTGTTTATGATGGGTGATAATGGCCTACTGTTGGTTCTAATATAACTTTAAAGTGTCAATTTCAGCATTCTTTTAAAAAAAGAATTACAAGAATTGCGAGTTTTTTTTTTTCTAGGGAAAAACAGACAAACACAAATCAAAGATGTTCCTATATTATATGTGCGTTGCAACAATCTATTTATTTATGTGAAAGAAGCAATATTTTATCCATTTGCTTGATTTCCACATAGAAACAGGACATTGCGAATTACAAACTAATATCCGCAAAGAGATGTCCATTTCAAACAATATCAAAATAATTATTTACAGATGTACTAGTTATCTATTTATATAGTGACAGCAATAACTTATCACCCATCATTATCAGTTTCTTAGTATACATATATTTAATTTCGCAAAGAATGTCAAACACTATTTTGTACCAGCAAGAATTCAGGATACACCGCAGAAACAGCGAATAAACGGTAATAAAGGAGAGAAAGATTTATTGCAGAAGTCGACATTCGACAACCACCAAGGGAACCAATCAACATAGGAACTCCATAGAAAAATCTTGTTATGGATACCAGTTTAGATACGAGAACTGTCACAAATCCGAAGTGAAGCACTCTGTTAAATTTGATTGGCCAACCCTAGAGAGGAGTTGTGTAAATCAACAACATTCCAAGGAAATCTCCTATGATCCACTGCACGTGTCTTTTGTTAAACAACAGTTTATGCATTGCTGCTATGGTTTTGCAATATTTCCTAATTACCCATTTACATTCATACAAAACTTTATAAATATGGTGTGCAAAGAATGGCGATTATTTTGGCAGAGACTGGAAATAGCATGTTTTTGTTCTAAAATTCTTGTGTATCAAATTATTTGTCCTTCTAGCAATATCTAGCAGAGATTTAAAGACTCTATATTTATTTCATAAGCCATTTTGATACCTTGTGTAATTAAGAGTTGGTGAAGACTATAATATACTAGATAAACAGTCAACTTGGCTCATCACATCTGCATTCTAATAGCCTCCTTCATTAACATTATCGTAAATAATAGGAAATATGCTGATCTAATTTTCAAAGGAGTGCACATGCTCTCGACTCTTTTCTAAAAAGGCAGACTTTTTCCCTTGGTTTAATGAGGAAAAGTGGGGTTAAACCGTTTAAAATATTAGAGTTCTTAAAAAATTACTCACTTTCATGAATGCCAGCTGAAAATAAAAAAAAACCCTCTAAACAGTCAGTTTATTGCTTTTAAGATAATGCTAAAACTATAACAAAAACGAAGAAAAAACCTGATGGTTTTATACGATGAAACAGAGAAATATTGTGTTTATTATATTATTACTTATATTGATTAAGCTAATCAACGACATTGCGCATGCGTACTACAGGTATACTTACCATTGTCTCCAGTTCTCTTTATGATGTTGTCTTTGTTTGCTGCAGATCATATAAAAGAAAATACATTTTATAAACCTTGAACATTATAAAATTATTAACTTATCTTTGCTGCAAATCTAGTGCTAATACTGTAGAATCGAAAGCTGATATCATGCTTGCCTTAGGACTGGTAACATGGTTGACAAATGTTCAAAAGCATGTTTAAATCACAAAAAAATGGAGAATAAGCACTTGTCAATCCTCTTGAAGTATTCAAAGTTACTTCTTGTCACATTTGAAGCAGTGTTAAATGAAGTGCGCAGATAAAAAAAACTATAATACGAAAACTGCATGGCAAGCACAGTAGAAGAAAGAGTTTAGAGCTTGCAATTCTGCAATTTTATAGATATTTACTTTTAAACAATTAAAAGCAAGCTTTTTTATGACAAAGTATTCTAAGAGATGGATATCGCTTGTGTTGAATGATGAGAAAAAATAAACTTTACCTTATACAAATACGGAGGACCAGAGGTATCTGGGTGAGCGTCACCGCGAATCCCAGTGGACCGCGGTGGTGGGGTGACCAGCAGTAACTGTGAATACTTACTATTGAGGACGATGACGTCCATGCTGTCCGTCTCCTGTCGGTCAGTTAGGTAGTTTATCGTCCGGCACACGTATCGTCCGTCGTCTCTCTGGAGACTGTGGGATATATGGAGCTGGCTAACAATGGTCCGACCGTCGGATGTTATGTATTGAGTGATTCGAAGTCGGTTTAACCACTGGGCATCACCAGATTTGATGATTTGTCCATTATGGAACCAGTCCACCTGCGCACTGGACAAGGCATCCTTTCCGAATGTTGCATTACATGTTAGCTTTATAGGATCGTACAAGTTTACATACTTCGTACCGTCCAACTCTATTGCTGAAAGAACATAGCCTTTTATCATCATACAAAAAAACTTTTTTTTTCATTTATAACAGTTGGAAGGTTACGAACGATTTCTTAAAAACGTTAAATTTGAAGACATAATTTTGTGTAGTTTGTCACGAGTCATTTTGTCTGCTGGGTTATGTTAGAACAGGGAGCAATAGTTTTACAGAGGTAACAAAAAGAACATTAAAACCTAGACAACAGGAGTTATTGGTCCTTAGGAAATATAAAATGGCGGATGTAGGTCAAACAAGGAACCCCAGTATTTTTTTTTCAATACCGGGGTATTTTCAAAATATAACAAGAGATTTCGTAAAAAACATTATGCTCTCCTCCCCCCAAATAATTGGAATTTTTCTAGGTCGGAATGGCAGAACTCTGTCAAAAATAGCTAAATCGTACCGAAAACCGAATTCGACCTAGAAATTTTAATGATAAATGTGTATACAAAATTACCTCTGTTAAAAATGACGTGATCGTACCCAAAACAGAACTTGATCTAGATATTCATCTGATATGTAGATCTGTATACCAAATTTCATTTCAGTATTTGCAACGGTTGTGAAGAAAATGAACGGAAACTAAGTGGACCGACAGACAGCAGCAAAGCAATAAGACCTCCCTTCTTCGAAGGGGGCATAAAAAGAAGTAACCAAAAGCTTTTCTAAATTTTTTTATGGAAGAAAATGATGCATTGCCGAGTTGATCAATGTTATGTTAATTAGCCTATGTCATGCCTATGTTTAGGAAACAACAGGCCCATGGGGTTACAACTCTCGCATGAGCCACTTTTACCCTGCTGTTTTTCATAAAAATTCTCCTTGTTATACTTGGATTCCCCATTGTGGCCCCAACCTATCCCATGGGGGCATGATTTGAACAATTTAGAATCTACTTTACCCCAGGATGCTTGTACATAAGTTTTTGCTTTCTCAGATGAGAAGATTTTTAATGACCACATTCTATTTTTGTCTTCTTTTTTAATTAAGTTTTTTTGTAAGGGGCTATGTTCATCATTTTAATTCACATTACACAAGGATGCTTTATACTTTGTTTTAAATTGGCCATGTGGTTCTTGAGAAGTTGAAAATGTGAAAAAATCACAAATGGACGGACAACCACGGATGAGGAACAATGGATGAACAGGTGAACTAAAAATATCATGCTAAAGCTTAAAGTTTTTTTTCAATGGTACATTTTTCCTTAATTATGACTTTCTGCTAGTGAGATTTTTTCTTATATTTAACTATAGATATAAGTATTACATGTAATTAAAGCTATATGAGCTGTAACTCTGATGTCGGAATTTTTTGTTGCAAAATTGTAAATAACTATTTCAATGACAGAAAAAATAACGTTTAATAAACTTCTGTTGCTCATATTTGCGATGGAAGAACTATTTATAAGCTTCGATTGAATCAAAATTACATTACTGTCGTCCTGTACAATAATGATTTCTTATATAAAACTGTATATTGAATTGTATATAAAAGTATTTTTCTGCTTTTTTTTAGTCTAATTGATCATAAAGTGTTAAGTTACATACAACTTTATCATAATCGTAAAATATTTTGTCAGCAAAATAACATTTTCAAAAATGCAGCTCATATTGCTTTAAGTCTAACGTTACCTCGCCTCGTTTTTTCTGTCATAACCATCCATATTTAATAGGATGAAGTTTAGAAAATATCTATTTTTAAAGCTAACAATTTAAATAAAACCCTATCTACTAATAACAATTTCAATATCTCTTCTATATTTAATGTTAAAAGTATAGAGAGAATAACAATGCATCAATAATCTGCCAAAGTTTTACGTTGTAATTTCCTCCTTTTTGACGAATTCTTCATTCTACAGAAACTTCATTTCAAAGTTTAACAATATGACTTGCTGTTCATTAAAGGTTAATTGGTTTTCATACGGAGAGTTATAATAACAATTTTACTCACCAGAAACATCTGCAGGAGATTCTGAAAAAATAAATATCAAACTTTGTGTAAATAAACACTTTTTAAAGGTAATCCATACTAAAGTTACATGTATAAAGGTAATCATTTAAATCTATTAATTTTTAAAAGAAGTGGGAGGTTTTACTTTATATCAAATTCAACGAAATTCCAAAGAGGGAGAATTTGAAGGGCAACATGGCGAACAATTCCAGTAAAAATAAGATTGTATCTTAGGCCAAACGCCAAATACATGTAGCAGTTTCCAGTTCATATATCATTGTTAAATTACAGTTTGTATGACCGTTAGTCAACCTAACGTCTTAGAACACACGTCCCAATCAATGGTGCTGCTAGTTTTGGGTGTTTGATTCCAGAGGTTTGACAAATAACCGAATCTCTCTTTGACGTTTAATTAGAACGCTTGATTACGCCTATATCCACACTTTTTATTAAAGTTCCAAGGATCAATACTTTTCATTCAATTGGCAAGAGGCCGATATTACCAATAACTTTTCTTTAGACAAATACTTAATACAAAATAAGAGAAAGCTTTCTAAATTGAGTTTCAGAGGGAAAAATGTCTAGACAGTAGTTTTATTGCAAAAAAATTTAAATTGTCATTATTGCTATTCCGTCAAAATTCATTCGGACTATCCTTTCAGGGCACTTTATTTTTGAATCTTTGTCGCGAAAAGTCCACTGGTGTAAAAAGTGAATTTTAAAAATAACTCTAAAGTGATGTACATGTGCACCTAGGGCTTTAAAATTTCATTAGATAAAGGGAAAATCCTATAAACTATGAATTGTACATGAACATTTGCACATTAACACCATATAAGTCAACTGAAGACTGTGACACGTATTTGTGTGAATTTGTTAAAGCCAAGCTATCACTTTAAGAACGAGTATCCAAAATTTGTATGCGAAGTAAAATTCAATTTCAAATACATACATTGTATAATATATCGTATAACGGGTCTCTTAGGCTGGTGTAAAATATACGTCGACGTATTGCTTGCTCAAAGGTATGCCAATAATTTTAGCGCAACTTTATTTTTGGCGGACACGGAGTACTGTACTGTGACATTGCAAAAGAGAGGAAATTCGTCTTTTGGATAAGTTACAGTAAGTTTAATATTCGTTGGAATACCAATCTACACAAAAGTTTGAGGATATACAATAACAGATGAAAGTTTGAGTGCTTATACAGTAAACTATAAATGTTATTAATGTGATATTTCTTGTATCCAGTATTGATAATGAAGGGTGAATTTGGCGATCAAAATTTTAGTGGCTTACTACGAAACCGCTATAAATAAGCCAGAATTAACACCCCGCTAAAAATACCCAATATATGGTAAGTACTTACTGAACAAAAAATCATATGCAGCTTAATCTTTAAGAATTAGAGATGTATTTGATGAAGTTTTGAAAAAGAGCAGTGTTATAATTACCGAGTACATGTAAATGTACGTGGTACGTAAGGACTCTTGTAGCGCTGATTTGACATTCGTACGTGCCGGAATGGCGGGGCTCTGCCCTCTTGATAATCAGGTTCCATTCTGCTATGTTGTCAGAAATGGGCTTGTGATCCACACTAATGTGTTCGTCCTTCTCAAACACGAAGGTGCCCACGGTCAAAGGGTAATCCATCGACAGCTTTCTCCACGCTACCTACGTCATAAAATCCTCACGTTATTATGACGGGGAAAATTCATTAATTACAAACATAGTTGATATTTACTTTAATATTCCATAACTGATCAACAAATGATTAATCAACATGAAATCTAATTAAGTATCTATAAATAATATGATGCATGGCTAAACTTTGACTCTTGACGATTAATAAATCATTCAACGGTTGGCAATATTTCAACTTTCACAAGTACATGTTTAGTCTGGCTATTTTAAATGATTCCAATAACCATTTAGAGCGGAACTGAATTTCTTTAGCTAGATTTCTATATTTGAATATCAAAGTGTTGAATTAAAAATATTTTGGGTTCCAATTTAAAATCGCTTGATATAATTTCTCACTTTTTAAAATTTACGCAAAACATTTAAATATCAATTGTGTGTACATGTATTTTCGTAACCTTGGAACCCTTTTCTGTCTATGATAATAAACGTAACCTAACACTTGCGAGTTGTCCACTAATACAATAAAAAATAGGCACAAGGTGCAAATTAGAGATTGTTAGTAAATAACAAATGCAATAATATATGTAAATTGGAAATTCATATTCATCAAATTAAGTTGGAATTTCAAGACGGAATGTACGTCTATAAATAAGTTTATGTTAACGCTGTTTAAGTGTGCATGTGCGTCTTTTTGGTTTCTAATAAGATCTGATACAGACATTGATTCAATATGATATTCCACTATACACAAGTTTGAATCCATAAAAACGGATGTTCTGTGGTCTTTTAATTACACCTCATCTTATATAACATATGCTTAATTAAAATTATGCAATAAAGATCATAGCAGAATTTAACTTGACACTAGGAATAAAAGTACAGTCTTAAATGAACCTAGGTTTACATTTTTTTTTATAACAGTCGCCGTTTTCACTGTTTTGCTGCAGATTCAGACTACATTTACCTGCCAGACCTTTTTTGAAGGGGGGAGGGTTCTACATGTCGATACATGGTAACCCGGAAGTGACCCGTCTTAAGCTAGTAACTCAGATATAAGGGGAGAAGAGATGGAATACAAAGATATACATAACCTGTATCTGGGGGCATCCACAAATCATTACAATAATACATAGGTAACAGGGGACGACTAGATGTTTCTATAGTGCTACAGGGATTTACCTACTGAAATAAACATTTGTCAACCTTGAGACAAGGGTGTTGTAGTGTGGTACATCAAAGTATATATCTCTCATATAATCATATCGAGTTCAGTTATTATCAGTACCACGCTATACGGTGGTACAACCTTGTCTTTTGGCGGTAAATCAACCGGCGTCAATTTTTCTTTGATATTTGTCAAAAACGTCTCCGACACTACATCAAAAAAATCAATTTAACGCGACAAGCAGACGGATCACTTCTCAGAAAATTCGACAAAATGACAGTTAACAGAGGGAAAAATGTTAATTGATTCCGCTTGATAATTCTACAAAGAATCATCGAATAATTAAATACAATTCAATAAAGACAAAATCATAGAAATATATCATGTATAATTCGTTCAATTTTAATGCCAAACATCGCCAGCAAAAACTATATGTATATTTTGTGAACAAAAACTTCACATGGAAGCGATCTATAATTAATGTTATAAATTATTTCACCTGACATCTCTTTTGTGGAATTATGCTATTCATATAAAAGATAGTGTTCTCGTTAACCGCAAAATTCCTAAGACATCAAACGTTTCGTTGATATTTCTCTGTTTCTATTTACACTTTTAACTTCGGGGCCTTGATGGTATCTGTTTCGATTTCTCTTCTGTAATTCGGGCACCGACTCTTGAAATCCTGAAGCAGGTGCCCGCTGGGCATATGTGACATTGTAGCACAACTTAAGGATTCTGTTGGTTACATTCTGTAGGTACATTTCAAGCATATTTCTCATCTAATAATTCCCTAACCTGAGTATGTTCTCATCAATCTATTCTTATTGATGTCTAAAAAGTAGTATGTCACAACATTTGATGAATGTTTATTTACAGACAACTCACAGCAATTTTACATGTATTGGAAATCAAGTTATTATAACCGTGAATATGTATGGCATTGACATTTATATTCAATCACTTGTTTCTCAGTACACACATAGCTCGCGAATCAAGTGGCTCATCATATGTCTCGTCATTTTTTTTAAATTTATTTCTTTTTTGTAGTAATTGCTTGCTTTCTTGTCTTTATTTGCAAAATATTTTTTTTCTAAATTTGCGTTAACATTGCAGAATATTCATTTAAATTTATTAAAGTCGGGATATGCCTTTTCCTACCTCTTTTGGTCCTAGGTTTCTTATTTTACATCTTAGTTCTGCTAGTCCACCCCTCGGCACGGTGATGTTACGACGACCGGTGTCAAGGAAAGAAGGCGCTACCTGCCGTTTGTGGAAAGCGGAAGTCACTGCAAAAAATGTTTACTGACAATAAGCATTCGTGCCATTGATTAAGAATAGTATTGTACAATGCATTTGAAGGCTTCTGAATTATAGGTACTGAGTATCTGTTTTATTTATTTTTTTTTTTTTAAAGTTTTATGAAACTGGGAAAAGATTGCTTTTGAAACTACTCCGGCGTAGCTGCCTAGCTGGTATATATCATTTCCTTACCCTACAGTTTTTTAAAAGGGTAAATTAAAAAAAAAACATACATACATACAAATACACAAAAGACCTTTTAAATCTGGAAATTGCTGATGGATTATATAAACTATCCAAGATGTATTTCATCAAGATATTTCAAACATCTCGGGCAAAAATGTAGAAATTTGCAGTTTTAGTCTAAAATAATCATGATTTATTAATTTTGAGACAGATCTTTTAAAAATATCTTTTTTGATTCAACATTTCATTTTTGTAATCGACATCGGCGTTGGCGGACGCATACATTCTCTTGCTTGTCTGTTAGAGTGTGTATTTTAAAACGGTTCCGTATAAAACATCGTGTAAAGGCCTGATGTCAACACATCAATCTAGGTATTTTGATTACTGATAAACTTTATAACACAGACTGAAATGAAGTTCTGTTAACACTATAGGATACAGATTACTTGTAACATTGCAGCTGATACATGATAATAGCACTGTCATCTAATGAGATGCTCAAAACCTAAATAAATATGTATGTGTGCTCAAGGTCATCGGGAATAAAGTTTCAGTTTTCCACGAAATTTAACTATTTTGTGTAAGGTAAAACAGAAGTATTAAAAGACACAACGCTCACCTTGTTTAAGAAAAAGCATAACTCATTTCAGTATTTAGAAGTTAAAATACAAGAGGCCCATGGGCCTTATAGGTCACCTGAACATCATGTAACAACTTTCTAAAGATTGAATTTGGTTTGTGATTTAAACAAGAGGTCATGACATTCACAACTTTGAGAAAAGGGACAATTGCACATCATAACTTCTCACTTAGTATGCTTGTTTGGTTACTTAAAACCCATGGGCGGAGTAGGGGAACAAAAAAAAATGCATTTTAACTAATCAGTAGTAATCAGCTATAATTAACAGTGTCCCACCTCAAAGGAACCCAAAAGCAGATTTCAACGCATAACTTCGTTTTCAGTAATCATTAGACCCCCCCCCCTAGTACTCCTGACCTAGGGAGTTTGAAATTCACAATTCTGAAAGATTGATTGATTGTACGTTGTTTAACGTCCCTCTCGAGAATTTTTCACTCGTATGGAGACGCCACCACTTGCTGGTGGAGAGCTGCAAATTTTATCCTATACTCGGTACTTAGGGCCATTGGGCAGTGAGGGATCTTTTTCGTGCCAGCACCTACTGCGACACGGGACGTTGGTTTAAACGGTCTCATCCATAGGATCGGTCTCCACGCCCCACAGTGGGATTCGAACCCGCGACGTAAGGATCAGCTCCTTCGCGACTCTTGAGCAGAACGCTCTAACCACTGCACCACGCAGGCGATCAATTCTGAAAGAAGGACCCCTTGCTATATAATCAAGAGCCCCGCCCTAAAACCGGAACCCCTGACCCTGGACTCATGAAATTCTCTATTTTGGAAGAAGGACCCTTGCTATATAACCAAGAGCCCCGCCCTAAATTCGGAACCCCTGACCCTGGACTCATGAAATTCACAATTTTGGAAGAAGGACCCTTGCTCATCCAAAAACTTTGTATGAAGTTCACTTGCTTAATACCCAGGAGCAGAGGAGAATTAAGATTTTCCAAGAATTTATGCATTTTCACAATATAACCAATAGAGCCCCGCCCTATCAAAAGAACCCCTGATCCTGCGGTCATGACATTCACAATTTTGGAAGAGGGTGCCTCTTTCTCATCTTAACTCTGTATTTAGTTTTGCTGTAGTTTGTTTGATACCGAGGAGCAGAGAAGATTTTCAAAGAATTAATGCTTTTTCACTTGCTTACAATTTTGTCTAATTTTGAATTCGCCCAGTCATAGTTCTGTTTAAGGATTTTTATAATGTGTTATTTGAGTTTTCCGACTTGTGACAAGGGTGAAAGGGGCGAAAATAAAACGGGGCGAAACTTTCCCTGTAAACAAAATATAATCAATATAGCCTCGCCCAAACACCAGAACCCCTGATCCTGCTGCCATATAATTCATAATTTTGAAAGAAGGGACCTTGCTCATTATAATTATGCATGTTGTTAGTTTGCTTAATACCAAGGAGCAGAGAAGATTTTCCAAGAATTTATGTATGTTGACTACATGTATATAACCAATAGAGTACCACCCTAATATCAGAACCCCTGACGTTGGGGCCATGAAATTCACAATTTTTGAATGACTCGGCATAACTATACATTATAGGTTTGTTTGTTTAATACCCAGGAGCAGAGAAGAATGTTTTCAAAGAAATAATGCAATTTCCCTATATAATCTACACAGTCCCGCCCTAACACTAGAACCCTCAACCCTGGGGACTTACATTAATTTTAGTGGTTGGTACCACCTCTCAGGTCTCCGGGGTGCAGGGACCATGAAATTCGCAATTTTTGCTCCCCTCCACCCATAGACACTATGTGCCAAAATTGGTTGAAATTAGTTGAGAGGTTTCAGAGAAGAAAATGTTGAAATGTTAACGCACAAACGCACGACGACGGACAAAAACAGATACATGTAGTAACACATGTAAGTCACCTGACTCAGGTGAACCAATAAAAGTGGGAGGAAAGAGGACCTGATTTGCACAAATTTGAATCTACAGATTTTCTAAGGAACTTTCAAAACTTTGAACTATTAATTTGGCTACTTGAGTATGCTCCATTATCAACTATATGACTAATCATGACATTCCTGTTCTTGAGAAGATTTTCTGAGTTTTTTTTTCTTATGTATTTCTCTGTCAAACTTTGATCGACTATTGTGGCTCCACCGAACCCCCGGGACTCAAGATTTGAACAAACTTTAATCAGCATTTTGTAATGAAGCTCTCACTTGTGTTTCATCTATTATATTCAGTGACTTTATAGAAAAAAAAACTTTTCAACCGAAGAGTGCTAAAAAGATTTATTTCATAGTCTTAAATCTTTCTGACCGTTCATTATTATAATTGTCAAATCAGTGATACATAAATGCTTTATACAATGTCATACTACTCGAATCTGATGAAAGTATTGTGTATATACTCCTTTCCTGTCGGTATGCACTTTCTCTCAGAAGTTAAGGGATAATCTAAAATCTCTACATTTTGAAACATATCTGTGTAGTTAATGACATTATACAAGATCTTAATAGACCAAAAATAAGTAACACCGACCCCTGAAGTTGGGGAAACAGGAAATAAAACTGAAAGAGACAGAGGGTCTGGCAATTACAAGAAATTTACAGAACTACAGAATCTGTGCACCATGGCAGCTGAATCGTCTCTGTACTGAGTGTGGAGAATTGAGGTTTATGGAGAATATGAATGTTTGTAGACGTAATTTGAGTGTGGCCCCCCACTGTTGCGAGATGACACATGACATAGTATTGCTGTCTCATTTGGAGGAGCATCCACCGGATGTGTTAACCGGGAAAATCATTACGAAACTGCGGCTTGTCACAGTCAATTTCAACCAACAACTCCAGCGACATGCTACTGCAAGTGATTACGATGTTGTGTTGCAAACGTATTATAGGGAAAGGCTCCGTGTAATAGATTTAGGCTTTTACATCCTAACGGAATAATGTAGAACTTGTGAATGGTTTGCCCACCTGACAATAGGGGCTTTTTGATTCGCTTATCTACCTCGTAGCTCTACTAGAAAATTATGATACTTGTACCTTAATAATGAAAGTAGGTTGTGTAATTATCAAACGAAAATACAATTATCTATGGATAACAAGAGCATATAGGTGAATATTTTATTACAGAGTTAAGGATAAAAGAAATTTTACAACAGCTTAAGGAGGCTAGGGGGTCAACAAATTATTTTTTTATTAACCACCAGATACTTATAACTTAAAGATTGGGATATGATATCTTAAGCTATCAACTATATCTTAAGCTATCAAATATCATTTGGCAAAGAAAAATTTCATAAATTTTAGCTTTAAAATTTGATCATTTTATTATATCTTTATATGGAGCTCTTCTTCTAATGGAGATCAAAATAGTGTAAAAATGGCCACAACCACCCAGCCCCTTTAAAAGAAAGAAAGTTTACTTTTGAAGATTTGATAGCTTTGTATTTCAGAGGGGACTTTCGCTGACAAAAGGAAAAATTGTCTAGCTTCATGTTTTACCTGTTAATGATTAAATAATACTCTCTGTTGCAGTTCTCTGTGAATGAATGTTTTATTTTGAACAGTTTTAGCACGAGACAATATTGGATGCTCTCATATTGAGTACTAGTATTCTGAACGTTGAATACAAGTACGTGATGCAAGTCATTTATCAATAAACCAATCTGCAAATTCAAATTCTATCCTGTCATTTATATCCATAATACACTGGGAATTCAAGTTTTTTTTTTCCTTCTTAATTTACTAAAACAGTTAATTAACAAAATTGCTTTTCTATATAAAAATTCATATAATTAAAACATTATATTGCCGATGCAGCCATAAATGGCACTCGTAAAACTACGATAAAAAACTGAAATATATCAATGAAAAATAATTCAATTCGTTATATATACGTGTTCTTACAGCTAAGCTAAAAGATATATATAAAAGGTCAGATATAATTTTGTATGATGAAGTGCATTCTCATGAGGCTAATGCACATTTCCTAAGACAATCCTGCTCTGTGTTCCTTTTCTTTGAAGTTTAGATTATGAAAAGAAATGATTTTTCAATTGCGATTTGAAACTTATTGACAATGACTGAATGATGAATCAAAATACAGAGGATTACGTCAGAGTTGCCTCATTTTAATTAACTGCTCAAATGACTGTATCTATATAATGGAAATCCATACTTCAATTTTCTGTCAAAATCTCACACACCTCCCTAATTTATATTTGTTTAATATCTCGCGTTATTCTATTTATTTACCTTCTCTTCGATCTGGCATTCAATGTGTTTCAATAAATTATATTATACTGACAAAATTATTTCAAAAGTGAAATTCATTCACTTTATAATATATACATGAAGCATTGATTCCCGTCTATTTTTCTTTGTAGCTTGATTCATGTTTAAATTTGATATAATGATTGACCGTGTTTCCCTCTTCCTGACTTGTAGATATATAATGAACAACTGTCCTAACAAAAACATAACCTAGCTCATTCACTTGTGTTTTTCTTGGGTGTTTTCAACCAGCTAATACAAACTTAAGATTTTGTAAAAACAGCTCTGATAAAAAAAAAGATAAACTGCAAGCTCACAACAAAACAGCTTTTACTTCTATTTCACTATAAGGAGATTTCTTGAAGTATGTTTTTTCCACGTTTAATCACACAGATCAATACAAAATCCTTTCACCAAATGTTACTACGAAAACACAGACTACCATTTAAAATCATTTCAAAATTTTACATTATATCGGAAAGTATATCATTAAGGGAGGGAGTCAGCAAAATTCAAGCTCCCCGAGAGCAAGTCTATTTCCCGAGACGATTGATCGATTGTATGTTGTTTAACCTCCCTCTCGAGATTTTTTCACGTCATATGGAGACGCCACCACTTGCCGGTGGAGAGCTGCAAATTTTGTCGTATGCTCGGCATTCAGGGCCATTGAGCAGTGAGGGATCTTTTTCGTGCCAGCACCTTCTGCGACACGGGACCTCGGTTTATACAGTCTCATTCGATGGACCGGTCTCTATGTCCCATAGTGGGATTCCAACCCACGACTCTAGAGCAGACGCTCTAACCACTGCGCCACGTGGGCGACTCCCGAGACAAAACCGAGTGTCTCATAGAGGGAGACAGCAAATCACAGTTCCCGTGGCAAATGGACGGTAATAGGTTTGCTCTCGAGGAAGTGGAATGTTGCCGTCTTCCCTTAATGATATACTTAAACATAAATAACGATTTTAAAAATAGACCAGTGACAGTCTATTTTATGCACTTATTAAAGGTACGAAATAAAAAAAGCAGGTATCGGTTACCCAGAAAATAGATAAAATGAATGAATTCAATAAAAAGGCAATTTGAATAAATGGACTATTTATTGGGCCCTGCTTCACTGTTTGTATAACTTTAAATGGACTGCGTATAAACATGAGTGGCTTTAATTGTAACATTTAGAAACTTTTCTTATTATATTGAAATAAATAACTGCGAGGTGTTTTATAAATAAGCACAGGTATCAGTTCATCATTAACCTGACGCACCTTTTAGGAGGAAATCGGGTTTTTTTCATCTTTATGGTACTTATCAGGAATTTCAGCAAAATTTATTCAAGAACTCTTATTTAGCACAATCAGTATAGGCATGATACTAATGACAATAGTCGGTATCACAAAGTTATAGTAAGTATAAGATCACCGGGATGATCACAGCAAAAGTTTGTATAATATTCAAGTACAAAGACTGATAAAATTGATACATGAAATGAGGTCTCCTCTGTCGCATCAGTTTGGCAAAATTGTTCTGAGAAATAGGTACACAAAACAAGGTTTTCAATACAAACTATGCTGTTTACTAAATCAAATTATTTTAAAATGTATTTTTAAACAAACTTTCCATTTAATTTTTTTTATTCATTGTGAATTGAATTGGCCAACTAGCAGTAATAAATTCATAATTTGGCATTAACTTAACCTTGTCTTCTATAAAAAGTAAACCGTCTACCTTCAGTCAAATCCACGAGAGTACAATGCAATGGTACGTCTTAAAGATAAATTAACTTCAACTTTCATTCAGTTTTTCAGGCAAAATTAGGATTTGGCAAGAAACTAAAACTCTCGAAAACTATTTACAAGATCTTCACGAGAAAACGAGAAAACAATCTTGAATTTTGACAACAAGTACAGCAAACACGACTCATCCAGTCTTCAGTCGGAACAAATGAGTTTCGCAGACAGGGTTGGTGCAATTCTGTCATTTTTTTTTAAAATAAATAAAAAAGGGGCAAGAGTGACGTGGAGGGGTATTGATTTATGGTACATGTCATTTTCCTATTAGCTTCACATAAAGATCCATAGAAAAGCAAAGTATAACTCATTGTTCAATGCTATCAAACATATGGTCTTGAGAAATGTATGTGTACCGACAAAAATATATGCTTATCATTACATTTTCGATTGATGGAAACAATGCTTTATTCGCAGCTATTGAAAAATAAAAACCAGAAATTTCTTCATAGAGATTATGTAGTGTTCCGAATGCGCTACGAGTTTCCTTAATATTGATATATTCTTCTTCAAGTAATGCTTTTTTACTTATTGATAAAAGGCGTTTTATATGCAGCTGTCTAATTAGAATAAAGTATTACGTTCTTAAAAATATTTTTTTTTAGTTTTTCTATATGTAATCCTGATGTAGACAATGCGTATCACATTAAAAAGGATTATTGATGTACTGTTATACAACAAAGAAAGCATAATCCAATAAAAGTTTTGCAATCTATCGACCTTGAACTTTGTTTTTATGATAGTTACTTATCGATTTGAGCCCCTCCCCCAAACTTCATCGCCTGTGTTGATTCCTTTTGCTTATATCCCCGTTCCCTTTTTTTTTTTAAATATAATCAGCAGATTTGCTAATAGCTTTAATTTCATCTTATAAGTGTAAAAAAAAAAAGTACATTTAAACTATTAAGTTGCTATCTGTTAAAGGTTTTGCTGCAGAAAATTATTAGCAAATCACGTTCAGATATTTTTTTACCTGTAAACATTTTCCTTACTTTCCGAGGTTAATGAAAGCATTTAAAGAATTTCTGGGACAGGCGAAGTGAATTAGACTTACTAGACTATAGCAGTTGTTACTGATTGGTAGCAAACTCAAAGCTGGTTTCTTCCCTAAAAGGGCCTTATAGATATCTCTCTAGTCCGTTATTCCAATTTTTCTTCGTCGAGAAACGACGAACGATATTCAATATAACTCAATTATGAGTAGAATTTTATTGAGAAGGGTGTTACTATACAGATATGAACTTTTATTGCCAAGTCATAAAATTTTTCAGCTGTAGAATTATTGGGTTTCTATTTTCAATTAACAGTTTCAATTTCACTGATTTTCTCTTGTCTGCGTTTGAATGTTCATGTTATCCAACTTGAGCTCGTGGATGCATGTTAAAATTAATTGTTATATAGTTTCATTAAATCAGTACTTGGTATTGGGAATTATAATCATTTCACGATCTATGAAGCATAGACGCGTAATTTACGTGTTGTCAAACGTTGATATAGATACCTGTAAATCACTCCTAAATAACCCTTTTTAATGATTAAACAACCCGTCAGATTAATATTAAATTTTAAAGCCGTTTAGCAACATAGCTTTTTACGGGTCGTTCAAGGAAAGGAACCTCAAGGGACCGAGCACAGTCAATGTTGTAAAAGAGGAGTACATTCTGCCCCTTTACATATAATCCAACATTGTTGTATACATGTATATAAGGTTTTGTGTTTTTCATTACGGACAAACATGCTAACAACCAGGATTAACCAGAGAGAAACTTAAGACGGATGTTTGTATTTTCTACACAATGTAGACCAGAAAATTACGTGTTCTTATACATTCCACAAGTATCAACATCTGGGGGTATACAACAAAATTCATTTCATCTAGCAAATAAACATACTGAAGCGAAAATAATTGAATATGTCGCTGTATTGTTGTTGCAATATAAGATATCTTCAGATCTGCCATATTTGTTGTCGATCGTAAGGAGCTTATTGACACAGTTAAAGGTAGATACAAACGAAATCAATTACGGCTCTTACACGGAAGAAAAACACGTGGAAATAACTTCTTAATGATTTGCTTATAATGTGATTGGGTGAAGTTTAATGTTTATATATATATTCTGCGATCTCATAAATAAATGTCCACGAATTTATAAACAAATGAAATAAAAAACTTAACATACTTTGAAATCCCTTGGGTGTAGTCACACTAATTAAAAACGCATCTTGGTTTCATTGTATGGATCTAACACGAAGGATAAATTCAATTCAGTTATACGGTTTTAGTATGTCAGAATAAAAAAGTATAGACAATTATAATTAATTATATTCAATCAAGACAAATATAGAATACCGCAGTCTCTAAATCGATCAATTTAACCGCGTTCTGGGCAAAACTTGCACGTTTCTATATTCATCGTTGAAATGTTTTAAATTCGACATTTTAAATTATAATTATCTTCGTTCATCAGAGAAGGCCTATATGATACAGAAATTACATTGATAGCAGAACTTGCTTATTCCTCACGACTGATCGAAATCCCTTGTTGCAAATAAATTTAGCTGTCAAAAAAAGACATTAAAGCTCTAAAATCGATACCAAATAAATTAATCTTGTGAATGCTAACAATACAGGTCAACTTCCGAGATACAAAACATCAATCACAAATTCTCTATAAGTGTCATATCAAAAATTCTATTTATTTATTCCACCGAAAAGTATTGATACTAGTATTGTAATACTATTAAGAAAAATAGCTTACCTGAAACTATAAGAGTTAAGAAAAACACGTGAATTAATTCCCTTTCAAATACACAAAAGCACTTTGCCATGGTTACTTTATCCTCATTTTAGTTACATATTGTTGCTGAGAGTCCCTGTGGTCATTTGTAGACATATTGTTGCTAAAGGTTCTTTGGCTTCCAGGGTTTGCTGCAACCGAGTTCTGCAGAGTGTCCTAAAGGAGAAAACTGAAAAAAGACAAGATTGAAATAAGTACATGCTTTGGAATGTCCTCTTCGTAAGACAGTCAAAATTGTGCCAGTGGAATAAGACAGACAGAAATAGCGCGCTTGAATGAATTCTTTTGCGATTTGTTCTTGACAGACGTCGCTTTAACCTTTTAACTTCTCTCTTGAAATTATCTACTTGAGTTTTTTTCCCACTTGTTCCTGGAATAACGCACTTATCCAGAATAACTACACAATACTGAAACCCACTTTATGTTACCTAAAAAAAACAAAAACAAGAAAACTACTTTCAAGTTTCCATACTCTGTTTGAAATCGATCCACAATATTAATCCACTGTCGCCGCGCCGCGGGTCCCACAACGAATGCATCACAAACATAAAACAGGATCAAAAAATTCTCTACGCTCTACGTTGACGTTATGTTGTGATGTCACGCGTTTATGAAATGGGTCGCAATATACTTTCGTTCTTCATTTATTTTTTCTCTTTCTTCAATTATCAGAGGGAAACCTTCGTATCTGTACATACATGTCATCTCCGTTACAATGACGCAAACCAATCACGATCGTAAACCGAAAAAAGGTTCCCTTTCCTGGTGAATTATGACAGAACTTTTCATCTTCCGATTGGGGCGGGAGGAGGGGTCATGAAAATGTGCAAATTCCAAATGCAAGTCTCTGTACAGCTGGAAAAACGCACAATGTATTTATGAGTGCTAGAAAGTGAAAGGTTACTTTGGCAAACGAGGTTATGCAATTTAAATGTTTAGTGTTTAAGAATTCTTTGAGACAACAATACCTTATGTTGAGTCAATTACAATGAATAAATATATATTCAATTACACGTCTTGCTTTGGTCTATAAAAAATAGATTTTTTCTTTATAGATCTCATCAAAGAAGTATTTAACTTCGGTTTTGCGTACAAACATTTAAGATAAATCCAGCTACACTTTTGAACATGAAACAAATTGCAAAGCAGTTTTATGACGCTCAAAGTGGTTCATCCTGTAATTTCAAATAAAATTTGAATTTAAGATTGACACATAAAGAGGTATTGTGATATAAATAAGCATTAAAATTTGCATACTTTGTCTTTGTACATTTGTTAATGTATTCAACGTGTTACGAATCTGCAAAGAACTGATGACCTATGATGACCCTGACGGTGATCAGACTTCACGGTCCATCCGCGACAGAAATGACTCCGCGCGTTCGTTTACCCTCCCAATCCCCAAACTGTCTGTCGTGACATCACCAGAATGCAATGATGATTCCTCCATTAGTGGGGGAAGGATAAATACCAAACTAATCATATTTCGCAGACCCCCCCCCAAAAAAAAATTTCTTTAATGATTTTTTTTTCCGAATATAGACAAAATGGGATCTCAGCAGGGAGAATTAGAAACCGTACATAAAAAGAGTTCAGGAAGGTTAAATAATAATTAAAATACAATTACATTTATATTTCTGAATGCTATTTTGATTCTTATAATCATCAGAGAATTCGAAGAATCTAAAAATGGACAGTACAGAATCTTTATGTAACTTGTACACAAAGAAATAAAAAAAGACCTTGATCACACGATCTGGCTTCTAACTGATCTTGGAAGTGTAACAAGACTGTGAAATTTATTAAATTCACATCATCAAAAGTTTAACCTTCTATCGTGGTAAGGTAACACCATCAAATTTAGATAATTGGATGAGATTAAAAAAAAACCTCAACGTTAACTAATATATAATTTATATAAAGAGACTGAAGCTGCATTACTTAATGCAAAGTTATGAAGTTTGCTTCACAGCAAAGCTAATAAAAAATTAAAAGAGGATATTTCGTCTTGGGTTAATAACCCCTTTTACACTATAATGCAGATATTTTATTCATAGCCAACAATTTTTTTATTGCACGGAAGAGAAGCATTTTATTACGTTAATGACGTACAAATTATATCCATCGTAGCGGGAATATAGCTTTTATTTCTATATCGATAAATTCCAAATCTTTAAGATTTTTTTCAACCTATAAAAACAAAATATCTATTAACTTTTTTTTCATTAACATCACAAATCACGTCTTTTCAACAACTTCTAAACAGAACATAAAACAGAGAAATAGGTATATCTTGAATCTTTTAAGCATATAGATCTTCACGTGTGTACAACTGTAAAATATTCACAATATATTTACATAAAAAGTTGATACATTTTTGATATGCTTTCCCTTGCTTTGAATAAATGAGTTGGCACTTGCACGTCAAAATGCTATAACACTTCGTCATATTGAGGGCCATATGTCTAATTGGAAATTTACAAGGCCGAGAATACTAAAAGCAGGAAGGAGCTATCCTTCGTTCGTGATCTGTAAATTTACGTCTTTTTCATTACCTCAAAATACTGAGGTTAACTAAGTTCAACTGGTCAGCTTTGGCTACCAGACGATTTTAGAAAAGTTGATCTTCCAAAAGAGCAATTACTTCTCGTTTTCTTAATCAATGATTTTTTTCAGACGGAGAGTAAATGGCATTTGTGATTGGTTTAATGAATAATTGATAGTAATAACGTACTGTCATTCATTATTTACAACCAATGACAAATTGAACTTTTTTTTCACACAATGAGTAATAATCGTAACCTTCCATATATATATATATATATATATATATATATATATATATATATATATATATATATATATATATATATATATATATATATATATTTACAAAATTAACCCAAATCAATGATTTCAATGTTTTTCTACAACTCGCATAGAATTACAATGAAGCAAACAAAGAAGCGAAATAAGGAGAAAAAGCACAAGCAAAGAAACTAATATACCAAAAAAGAAAATTCATGTAAATGTTGAAAGAATTTTGCATAGCAAATAATATAGCTTCTTTTCTTTAGCTTTATAATAAACTTGCTATTTTAATCGTGTATCTTTACTGTATTTTTTAATACCTACAATCCTTTTACGATTGAATTTTTTTCCTAATATGTTTTTCAAAATTAAAATAAAATAATTAGTGAAATTGTTGTAAAGAACAGAATATGTTTGCTAATTATTTTACCGTATCATTCACTCCAAACCACAGAATATTCAAAATACCCAAGAGATTCTTTCTAAAAGAAAAAAAGGGGAAACATACTCTCAAGTCAATTTTATAAAATGCAACAAAAACAAAAATTGCATCTTTAAAAACTACTATTGTAAAACATTTTTTTTTATTTTATTGTAGTCTATGGCATAGGAATAAAATTGTTTTATTGCGTGCCACATATAAAAACAGTCATTTTTCATTATTGTTGGAAGGTACGTGTAATTATGTCGATTAAAGTGAGTGGTTTTATACAAACGTCAAGAATTTACCATTGCAAACCCTAAAACAAAAGCATAAAAGGTTGCAGGAACACCCCCACCTTTCTCTTCCCTAATTAAAACCCAGTGTTCTATGATAGACCAGTGTCTATAACTGAAATCAGCATAGAGGATTATTCTCGCTGCAGAATTTTTATATTAAGAAGCAAGAGATAGGACCCTATTCAGCCCATTTATCTATTTCAATGCAGTCTTTAAGCTTTTATGAATAATAATTTGTGAAGGCAAAAATATACAGAATAGCTATTTAATTTTTGGAAACTTCTTAGAAGTAAATTTTTGGGGGACATGTGTCATAGAGCCAATTTGGAAACAAAAAAAAAAATACAATTGCTAAATAAAAAAGAAATAAAATCACATAAGTTAGGATTGGAGTCATCAATTGCAACAAATAAAACAAGTTATTTATATATATCATCCTATTATCTTGTCTTTAAATAAGGTATCAAGCTTGCTAAAAATATATACATAATGATTGTAATAGAGAAATTCTCGACAAAAAGCACTCACCGGATTGATGAATGAAAGCAATTAAAATAAATCCCATTCCTAAACACTTCACGTTTGATTAAGAGATCGAGCGTTCATATTTTTTGTTTTAGTAAATTTCTACAAGGTACGTTGTTTTGATGTGGAGGCTGCCGTTTGGATGCTAGCACTGATGAATTCACCTGATTGTAAGGGGAACTACACGGATCTCATGCACCGTAGGATCCAAACATCGATCTACCGACAGACAAGTCATGTAAAACCCCGAGGCCTCCCGGGGGCTTGCATAGTTGTAATTTCTATGTCAACACTAGTTTGCTTGCAATGCAAAGAATTATAGATATATCTGATAGATAGAACCTCATGAGATATCATATTAAGTATTTTTTCACAAGATATTTGGAAGTTTACTTTTATTGTTGTTATTGTAATGCATCGAGGCTTAAAAGATACGAATTTTCTGTGTGTTCTTTTAGTGTTTATTTAAAGAAGTTGATTTATGCCTGGTGTTGTATCAATATAATGAAATGATTCCGACTTCAAAGAATTCCCTATCTTGTACATGTTTCCAGTGAAGAGAATTGATACGACCATTTTCGACTTGGGTTGCACAATTTTATCTGACGCAAAAACATTAGTCTACAGTGTGATAAATAAAAACAATGTGATAATGAGATTTGAAATCCTGCGAAAATAAGCTTAGAGATTCAATCGCCAAATTTGTCATTGTCAGTAAAGCAACCGTGGGAGCAAATGCACCAAATCAAGACAATTGGGAGATGTAAATGCAATTCTCGGTATCAAAAATTAGCAGGGTCATTAAGCCATAAAGCAGACTGATATAGCTAAAATACGTAGATGTACGAGATTAATTATTACCTTGTGAGTACATTTTCGTCTCCGCTGTCTGGAGTGGTCGTGTGTAGGACATAACGTTTGTCTATCAGAATACAGCAATACCAATGCATAATATCGCCATTTCGTCTTTAAATGCTCCTTTATGCCTGTCATTCGAGGAAAAAAAACTTTCACGGTCCTACTTAAAATACGAGTACTAGGTTGATTTTGAACCATAAAATTCCCCAAATTAGATAACAATTCTGACGACACAATTTAGAGAAATTGAAAATG